GGGTTTTATATTTTATTTTTTTTTTTTTTTTTTTTTTTTTTTTTTGGGGGTTTTTTTTTTTTTTTTTTTGGTCTTTTTTTGAGACAGTGTCTCCTTGTAGCCCCAGCTGGCCTGGAACTCACTATGTAGACCAGGATAGCCTTGAACTCACAAAGAACTGCCTGCCTCTGCCTCCCAAGTGCTGGGATTAAAGGCGTGCTCTACCATGCCCAGCTTGTAGAGAAGATTTTAATAGTAAGAATAAAACATTTTATTATATTTTTGTTTTATGTGTATGAATGTTATACCTGCATATATATAAGTGCACCCTTGTCATGCAGTACCTGTGGAGGTCGAAGAGGGTGTTGAATCCCTTGGAATTTGAGTTACAGAGGGTTGTTAGCCACCATGTGGGTGCTGGGAACTGAATCCGGGTCCTTTGCAAGAGAAGCCAGTGCTCTTAACCACTGGGCCACCTCTCCAGTTCCGTAGGAATTTTTTTTGAGCCAGAGTCTCACTGTACAGCCCTGGCTGTCCTGGAGTTTGGTATGTAGAGCTGGCTGGATTTGAACTCACAGAGATCTACCTGCTTCTACCTCCCGAGTGCTAGATTTGAGGGCATGTGCCCAGCAATACTGATTAAAAAAAGTTTTCTGATACATTTTATTTTATGTGTATGAATGTTCTGCCTGCATGTATGTGAGTGCGCCTGTGTCGTACAAGCCTGAGGAGGCCAGAAGAAGGTGTTGGAGTCTGTGGAACCAGAGTTATGGGTAATTATTAAGAGCAGTTGCCAGTCCAGTGCTTTGTGCTCTTCTAGAGGCTGGAGTTTGATTCCTAGCACCCGCACAGGGAGGCTCAAAACTGCCTGTAACTTCAGTGCCGGGGTATCTGTAGATACTTGCACACACACAGTATACGTTCACACAAACGCATGTACCCATAAATAAGAATTAAAATTAAAAACAGTCTCGTTTGCCTTCATGTGAATGATTGACCACTGAAATTTAATTGTTGATGCACTTGACATATTTGTCTGCTGAATAGGTTGGGCTTCTGGGAATTCAGATGCTGTGGACACGTGATTCAGAAGAGGCTTTAAATAATGCAAAAGAAGACAGGAAAATCATGCAAATAACCAACCAGAAATTTCTGGATATTCTAAATACTCTTATTAGTCAGACAACACATGATCTGACTAAATTCCACAGAGTGAAGTTTGAAACTCTAATCACCATCCACGTGCACCAGAGAGATATTTTTGATGACTTGGTAATGTATCTTTTTAAAAAATTATTTTTATTTTATATGTATGAGTGTTTTGCCTGAGCATTTCTATGTGTACCCATGTTGTACAGTGTCAGTAGAGGTCAGAAGAGGGCATTGGGTCCCCTGGAACTGGAATTATGGAGAGTTGTTAGCTGCCATCTGGATGTTGGACACTGAACCCCGAGTCCTCTGCAAGAACAGCCAGTGCTTTTAAGTGCTGCGAAGTCTCTCCAGCCCCAGTATCTTTTTATTATGCCTATGTTAAAGTCATTTGGTGTGATGATTAATAATGAACAGTTAAAGATTATTCGTAAAGGTGCACTTACATGAGCTCTCCCCCACCTGGCTCTTTTTCACAACTGTCTGCACCTGTACCGTGCCTATGACTAGGTGTGCTGGGTGCTCTAAACAATCCTCGTTTGTATTCTCACTTCTTTTTTCTCTTTTGTTTATTTATTGATTAGTTTATTGCAATGAACTCACAAATAAAAACATCACGCGGCTATATTAAGGTCTCCACTCAACCAAATACGTGCCCAGTCCCAAACTCTATGTACCTCAGTGAATTTCTATATAGTTAGAATGGTCATTCTGAAGTTGTGGAGCTTAGTTTATGTTTTTACACTTTTACTATCAATTATGTTTTTATTCACTTATCCACCACAAAAAGAAAAAAATGACAAAATTGACATCATAAAAATAATTAGTTTTAGTATAGTATAACTTTCAGAAGGGAGACCGAGAAAGGGTAATATCCGGCAATGAGGGAGGATGGAATGAAGGTCAAAGGACACAAGAGTTGTAAAGAGTTTATAAAGATAATTCATTTCACTTGTTATTCCTTTTGCTTTTGTCTTTTTGAGGCAGGGTCTCTCTGTAGCCCCAGCTGGCCTGAGGCTCTCTATGTAGACCAGGCTGACCTTGATCTCACAGAGATCTACCTGCCTCTGCCTCCCAAGTGGGATTAAAGGCGTGAGCCACCTTGCCTGCCTCACTTATTATTCTTGAAAGTCGGGAGCCAATTGATTTGGTAAGAAGTAACTGTTCTACTGAACACATACCCAGGTGCATGACATAGTTGAGTCAGGGTGCGTCATGGACTGTGGTGGACCAGTTGGGAAAGCAAAAGTCCAAGTTGAATGGAACAAAGTTTGGGAAACCCTCATAGCTGTTGTCCAACTGATAGCATCTGATAGGGCTTGGCTTGGGCACAATTCTGTAGGAAGGGAGTAAGGTGAATTGTGTTTGAATTCCCCTTGGAAAGAGGATTCTAATTAGGGGCTTTGGGCTGGGGTCAGGTTCTGCTAAAGCCAAATTGTCCATCCTAGGCATCTCAGGTTTTTTTTTTCCTTTTCTTTTTTTCCTGTTGCTGTGATTTAATACTCAAAGCAACTTAAGGGAGAAAGTTTTATCTTGGCTCATAGTTCAGGGCACAGTCCATTGTGTCAAGGAAGTCAAGGCAGGAGCTTGGGGCAGCTGGTCACAGCGCACCTACAGTCAGGAAGCAGAGGATGAGGAATGCATTCTACTGCTCAGTTCTTGTATTAATTACTGTCTGTTTCAGAGATGGTTCAACATATGTAAGCCAATAAATGTAATCCAGCACCTAAATAGCCACATTTAGTAGTGTACTTGAAATCACTTGTCTTTTGTCTCCTCCACTTTTTTAGGTAAGCACCAAAGAGCTGTGACCAAGTCTATCTATCTGTGTTCACCCAACGTAGTGGCAAGTGCAGGAAGGGAAGCAATAAATATTACATAGCGAAGAAGCAGTTCATGAACGAGAGAATAAAAACCGCTCTTATCCTTATGTTTTAGGCTATTGCAATGCAGAATGCAACTTTTTTGTGTTTCATGTTTTTAAGGTAAAAATGCACATCAAGTCTGTTACTGACTTTGAATGGCTAAAACAGAGTAGATTTTATTTTAAGGAAGATTTGGATCAGACCGTGGTATCTATTACAGATGTTGATTTCATTTACCAAAATGAATTTCTGGGATGTACTGATCGACTTGTTATAACTCCGTTAACAGACAGGTAGGAAACATGGTGTTTTGTAATTAAATAATATGCCTAATGTTGCCTTAAAAATCATGATTGAGCAGCATTTTCTGGACACACAACAGCATGCGTAAGACCCGTGCAAGCTCAAGCCAGTCAAAATCCCAGCATGGTGAGATGGGCACAAAGTCCTGTCCCTAGCTGTGGAGTGTTGGCCATTAATAGCTGCTGGGAGAGGGAGAGTCAGTTTTCTTTAAGGGGGTCACTCCCTGGTAGATTGCCCAGGGGATGGAGCCACACCCAAGAGTATTTGGGCAACACAAATTGAATCGGATGGGCTTTAAAAAAAAAAAGCATGAAGTTGGGTGGGTAGGGAAAAGGTAGGTGTCTGGAGGGAGTTGGGGGAGGGCCAGTATATATAATCAAAATATACTGTATGGAATCTTCCAAGAATTAATCAAATATTACTTCAAATATAAATAAAAGAAAAAATCACACATAAGATAATTCATGAAAGCATATTGTTGTCATCTTGGCTCTGTGGTAGGTCATCAAAGCCAGTCTAACAATAAAATAACCCTCACTGTTGCTTGAATGAACATGTGAATTAATATTGTATGAAGTAGAAAAAGAGTAAAATCATTATTGAATGCTGACTACCAGTAATTCAATAATGAATTTTAGATGAAAAGATGGAAAAATACCCTTAGAACCATAAAGGAAGTTATGAAGGTGTCTTTGATATCACTGAATTCTGTCTCCTGCATTTTTTTTCTTGTCTGGTTTTGTTTTTATTATTATTATTTTGTTCATCTTTTTTTTTGTTTTTCTGAGAGAGGGTTTTACTATGTAGCTTTGGATGCTCTGGAACTCTCTATGTAGATCAGACTGGCCCCGTACTCTCAGAGATCCACCTGCCTCTGCCCCCCAAGTGCTGGAATCAAAGGCGTGTGCTACCACATCCAGCTGGTTGTGTTGTGTTTCTTGAGACCAGGTCTCACTATGTAGCCCTGGCTGGCATGGAACTTGCTGTGTAGCTCTGGCTGGCCTCCAACTTGCTGCTATCCCCCTGGCTCTGCTTCCTGAGTACTGGGATTACAGGAGTGCACCCACAGCAGCCTGTCAATCTAGAAACTGAACCTAAAGTGAAGTTTCTAGGCCAAGTCGGAAAATGAGGCAGTGACAGATTGCATCATAGTTCTTTTCAGTACCTGACACCAGGCAAGATGTGGGTCCTTTTCATCTTTCTGTACCCCATCCCATTCAGTTCAATGTGCTGTGCACATAGCTGTCTGTAGAACTGATGGGGCATCAGAAGATCCAGTTCTGCCATGTTAACCGAGTTTGCATCCAGGTAAAATCACAGAACAATGGTAGGTTTCCAGCCTCCTCTTGGGCTCTTCAACCCTTGTTTGGTCTGTAGGCTGCTCAAGCTCTGCAATAAACAGACCTTCTGGTCCATTGCACTTGCTCTTTTCTGTAACCTGTATTATCCTGTGTTGCAGATGCTATATCACGCTGGCTCAGGCTCTGGGAATGAACATGGGGGGTGCCCCAGCAGGACCTGCGGGGACTGGCAAAACAGAAACCACAAAGGACATGGGCAGGTGTTTGGGGAAGTATGTGGTTGTGTTCAACTGCTCGGATCAAATGGATTTCAGAGGTCTAGGAAGGATTTTCAAAGGCAAGTGTCAAATGATGCCAAATAATTACTTTTGATGTATTTATTTTTAATCAGTAATATTTTCCGGTATAAATCTAAAATGACACAATCCCACATAGTTAACATTGGTATAGGCTGATTTCTGTAATATTGCCATTTTTCCTGGATCAAAAATGACTAGATAGCATCAATTCCATAATACTGATCACATTATAGTGTATGCATTGAATTTATATATTGGATGATGGAAACAGAATTGATTTATATGGTCTGAAACCATAGTGGAGGAGGTACAGCACTTCTTCTTTTGCTGTGTCAAAGGAAAACAGGATGGGGCTGGCCATCAACAGTTGGGAATTTTTGAGAAAATCTTAAAACGTAGGTAGGGAAGAGGTGATTTCCGATGAGCACTGGTGGGGGTGGGGGCAGCATCCAGGGCACATCAATCTCAGAGCTCAGTCTTTGCCTTTGTGCTCCTGTCTACATGCATTCTTTGGTTATGTCATGCAGACCCAAGCTTTAAATATCATCCATATGCTAACTCCCAACTTGCATCTCTAGATCAGAATCTCCTTGAAACTCTGGCTTCATGTATCAAAATGCTTGCTTGACATTTCCGCTTCAATGTCTAATAAGTCTAACTTGACCATATCCGAACCAAACTTCTGTTTTCCCTGTAGCTATTTCCTCCAGCTCATGAAATGGCCACCCCACTCTTCCATTTGCTCAGACAAAAACCCAAACAAAGCTTTGACTTATCCTTTATATCTTGCACATCCAATCCCTTCAGCAAACAATGTTTTCTGCCTTTGTGGTATACCCCCATGGACCAGTGAAATGGCTCAGTGGGTCAAGGCTCTTGCCATTGAACCTGATGACCTGAGTTCGATCCCTGGAAACCACATGGTGGAAAGAGAGAATCAACTCCCACAAGTTGTCCTCTGACCTTCACAGAGATGTCTTACCCC